AAGGGTTGGTTGGTTTTTCATGCGTCTTTATGTTCCGGATGCACCGTGGCGAACAAACGAACTCCTTTAATCTTGTTTTCTCTTGTAACATGCCCCTGTACCTCCTGGCCTGATCGTTCCCTCGCGCGGCAAAGTGTTTGCGCCAGGCCCTCACCATCCTTCGTGCTCTCCGACTTGTGCGGGTTGTCCGCGTCGTGTCGCGCGTCAAGATCTTCCATGAGGACGCCATGGGGCAATTTGCACGGCTTGTTGCTCTGTCTCTTTTCTCTATTTCAGCTGCCATGCTGCATTCTGTCACACCAGGCAGCTGGTTCTTCGCCTTTCGAGTCTGCCGTGTCTGCTCGGTGGGTGCATCCCCCCAAGGCAGGCACACGTACGTTGACGACCTCGAGTGATCAGGCGTTTTGGTTATTGTAGCACAATTGTTGGCAGCTCGACGCACTGCATCATTGAGCTTTGACCGCGCCTCCGCGTCTTCGCTGATGACCCTACTGATATTGCCATCCAGTGTCAATAATGAAGTGCGCGCCGCGCGCTCTTGCGTGTGTGTGTGTGTGTGTGTGTGTGTGTGCGTGTGCGTCTCCCCTCTGACCTTTACTATGCCGCGCCTCTGCGCGCGTGGCCGCGACGCCAACCGTGCGCGCGTGTGCGCGCGTGTGTGTGTGCGTGTGAGTGAGTGAACGAATGAATTGGTGAGCGAGTGAGTGAGTGAGTGAGTGAGTGCGTGAGTAGGTGCGTGTATGTGTGTGGTTGTGTGTGTGCCAAGCGGTCGACTACGTTTTGCTCACCATGGGATCTCCAGGTCTTGGCACGCTGCCTTGAGGGGCCGATTAGGTCTGCGTGTGGCCCGCCTGCTGTTAACCGTCGGCTGAAGCTCGTTGGCGCATCGGAGCAAGTGTACTACTGTGCCTGTGTGTGTGTGTCATGTTGCACGCGCGGCTCGCCCGCCCATCCTCTCCTGGTTGTTTCTCCCTGCGCACGCTCGCCCTAGCGCAGCCACCCGCTGGCTACGCCGTGTGGAATTCGGCCAGTGTGCAGCCCACTCTGGCTCTCGCTGTGGATGCATCACTCTCGCGGCTGGAGGAGCAAACGTGTACGGGGCTCACGTGTCGGGGGTCAGCGCTCACGGGGCCAGCCAATCCCGCCGGGGCCAGCCAATCCCGCCGGTTTGGGAGCCACGTGGGGCCGAAGCCACCAAGCGGCCGGCCGTGGCTTCGTGACAGGGCCCCGGCCGATTGGGTCTGTGCTAATCCGGGTCGTCACCGCGCTGCGCAGCGACGCCGCAGCGCGGCACGGCCGCGGCGCTGGGCGTGGCCGTCGCGGTGCCTCTTGCGGGCCCTGTCAGACCCCTCTGGGGGGCCACCTCGGGGGCCTCCGGCGTACCATCGGGAGTTTGTCCGTGCCGCGGGCGCCCCGTGGAAGCGCCATTCCATGCACCCGCGGGCGCGCTGAGGGCGCTCCATGGAAGCAGCGACTTGACAGGTGCATATCGGGCGCACCAGGGAAGCATCCTGGCAGGTGCTCTGTACCTTCAGGAACCACAGAGGGGGGGGAATCCTAGGTATGTCCGAGGGGGGCCATGTATTTCCCAACCCTCCCTTGGTTGGGTTGTCGTGCTCCTCCTCCTCCTCCTCCTCCTCCTCCTCCTCCTCCTCCTCCTCCTCCTCCTCCTCCTCCTCCTCCCCCCCCCGCTCTTCTCTCGGCTCTCTCCTCTCGCATCCCTCTTGGGGGCTGCGAAGTGTCAAACTGTCGTCACTTTCGAGGGCTGCTGGGGGAGCCAGCACAGTGGGGTCCCACGCAGATTCAAACAGGACCTTGCCATCCCTGCGGGCTTCGAAATGTGAAATTGTCGCCACTTTCGAAGGCTGCTTGGGGGGGCAGCACAGTGGGCCTCAGTGGGGTCCTACGCAGACCCAAGTTTGACATCGCCATGCCTGGAGGGCTGCGAAGTGTGAAACTGTCGCAACTGTCCAGGGCTGTTGGGTGAGCCAGCACAGTGGGGCCCCACTCAGACCCAAACGGGACCTCGCCATCCCTCTTGGAGGCTGCGAAGTGTGAAACTGTCGCCACTGTCGAGGGCTGCTGGGGGGGCTGGCCCAGTGGAGTCCCACGCAAACGCAAATGGGACCTCGCCATCCCTGGGGGCCTGCGGAGTGAAACAATTGGCGCCACTTTCGAGGGCTGCTGGGCGGGGCAACACGGTGGGGCCCCTTGCAGATTCAATCGGGATCTTGCCATCACTGGGGGGCTGCGAAGTGTGAAATTGTCACCACTTTCGAGGGCTGCTGGGGGGGCTGGCACAGTGAGGTCCCACGCGGATCCAGAAAAATACCTCGCCATCATCTCGCAGCTTCTGCCGAGGTGATTGTTCTTCCACCCAGACGTCTTCCTCCGCCTTCCCAGTACAATGCCTCCTGGCCGTTTGCACCTCTGTTCTGTGAGTCGGCCACGCACACTTCGCACGACATAGATATCCGCCGTGCACCGTCTCTTGCAGTGT